CAAATCCTCTTAATGCCCGAATGAACCACGGCCACCTTTGAATCCTTCGCACCCTTGAATACAACTCCTAGGAGTTCAACAATACCCAATGAAGTGAACAATTTAATTGTCTCCTTGTCGACCTCTATGCGTTTGGTGTTGATGACGAACATTTTTAGGGTGTAGAAGGAAGAACTCTCCAGCCGTATAGAAAGGAACTTCTCAAACATTAGAAAAGATAGATGAAACAGAGTTTCCGCAGATGGGATGATGATGATAACGATAAATAATAAACGCATTTTACAAAATTAAAATACCCTAAATGTTTTAGGCGGGATTACACGCTACACCATGCATCTCCTTTGCCACACTACCCTTCTGATAATCCAAGGTATTAATTCAATCTCCCGACTCACTCAATGGAATTAATTCTGTAATTGCTAATTCTCTCGTCGATGTTGATACCTCCATACGTACAAGCTTATTAATCATCTGGCCTCCTTTCCCAATTTACCTTGTTTACACATTAATTAGAAACCAAGTCGTTTTTGACAACCATTTAATTTTTGGATGTCCATGTTCGACAAAAATGCCTAAACCAAGTCGTCTACAATGTACGTGTAGAATGAACTCTTGCGTTTAAATAACACGTGAACCTTGCAGAACACACTCATACTTTCACGTTCAATTCTAAAATGTATCTCATCTTGCTTTTGCATGCTAATTGCTTACGATATGTTATTATTTATCACATGACATGCATGGAAAAAAAGGCATACACAATTTGACTTGCTTTAACAGTTTAACAATGACTTAAAATAAAAGTCATATATTGTATTCTAAGTAAAATTTTAAAAAGAACTTTCCTATGAAAACTTTTTCTTTGCAACCTTCAATGCACATCAATTTCTTGAAATAACGAACCAAACATTATAATTACACACATTTTACATTTAAAACAAAGCAAATCACTTTTATGTGCCACTGATATACAAATTAATTAGTTTGACTGTAATTAAGTCCTTTTTTATCCTCTCTGGTGATGCTTTGTGTTTCACATTTTATTCTTATTATATTGTTGATTAGAATTTTAAAAGTTCAGGTAATCAGGTTTACAAATATATAAGTGACACCTTTAGTAAGGAAAACTCAGTTTTTGGAACTTCCTATTTTCCAAAATTAATCTAGGAACTCCCTAATATAATGTTTTCATATCTATGGAATATTTAGCTGTTAGGGACGTGCTTCGGTATATGTAGTATCAAGACGCTTGTTCAAAATGGTTCCTAAGAATTGATAACATTGTTTTCGAAAACGAGAACACTGTATTTCAAATGGTTCCAACGAATGGGCGACCAAATAAGAACATACTTACAATTGTTCATAATTTCTTTGAGCTTCACATTCAAAGTGTTTATATTTTCCGGTTTTAAAGGTGTTATTGAAAAAAAGTTTCCCATATAGTTCAAACAAGTTTTTTTATCGCCTTTAAAACACCCTTACAGTGAACTTCACACTCACTAATATCAAAGTAATTTGTGGCTCTTCATGTGTGATTAAGGGTCTGACTTTTTATATAACTGTGTGCAAATTATGTAACAAACTTTAATGATATCATTCAATATTCACATATTCAGGGTACAGTTACTTCAAAGCAAGATCACTACGGTCATTATTGTAGGTTTGGAGTACAATAACATTCAAATTTCACAAAGTCCAGATACAGCAAGCCACTATTGCCTTGGATGTTCGAAATTCAATGCATTTAATTTAAATTTATTTCGGTTTAATTGGTGTTCTTAGAGCTTATTTCTCTTATAGTTCAAAATTGATTTTGTTTTTTGTTTACTTTCAAACTGGAATTTGTCACTTCAATTCTGACACAAAGCTTGTTGCAACCTTCTGGTATGTTGTTAGGTGTTACCTCTTTCTATAAAAGATGGTCTTCTACCTTGCGAGAAGTTTCACCTCAACAATTTTTAGCCACGTTATAGACTTATGGTGAGTTCAGTATTTAAAGACCTTTTCACTTTTGTGATATATAGTTGCCACTTGATAAATATGGAGTAGCATTTATGGAGTGCTTTGAAAACAATAGTCATTTTGGTCGTTCGGTTTAATAATAGTTGTCATATATTATATTAAAAACTTATGGAAACTAGAAGTTATATTGAGTCATGTTTCTGTCGAAATAACAGTGGTTGATTGCCTGCTAAACTGTTCTAAATACGTGGTGTTAAAGAGTTTTGCTATTAATGAAATGTGCATCTTTTCCTACTACTTTTTCCACTTGTTTTAAGGAGTGTTTGGGGTTGCTTAAAAAAGCACTTTTCAGTTTTTGGCTTAAAAAAAGTTGAAAAGAGTGTTTTCAAATGACAACTTCTGCTTAAATTAATCACTTAAAAGCTAAAAGCTGGAAGCAGGTAGAAGGGTGCTTTAAACTGCTTCTCACTTTTTCTATTACACAAAGAGTACTTATTTTACCAAACACTACCAACTTTTACTTTTTCAGAATCACTTTTTTCTCAAACACTACCAACTTTTACTATTAATCACTTTTCCCAAAATCACTTTAAAAAATCACTTTTTTAAAGTTGAAGCAATTGCAAACACTCCCTTAAGAGTGATTTGAATCTACTCATGCTTTTCTTATTGTGTTGGGCTTGGGTGTAATCATCATGGCACTTTCATACAGATCTCTTACTGAACTCATTTTTATATATATATATATATATATATATATTGGTTCAGGTGAGAAATGCATCTAATGTGAGAAATGAGAATGAATCTCAGCCATTGGATTTACGAAGTTGCACTAAAATTGGCTTTATGTTGCAGTAATATTTAAATTTTGCACATGTTGTACTAAAACTGTTTGATGTTGCACTAATATTTGACGGCGTTGCACCGAAATAGCTTCATGTTGCACTAGACACGTGTAATACGGATTTTTCAGAAGTATTTACAGAAATGCCACCGTGCTAGATTGCATATTTCAGTGCATCATGAAGTGTCTTTTACTGCAACTTAGTCAAATCCAATGGCTGAGATTCATTCTCATTTCTCACCCAAAGGGTTCTTCTCACTTGAACCTTACCCTATATAGATATATATATATATATATATATATATATATATATAGACTTTGGATCAAATAAAAAGTGGTTCCAAGATGAAAAATAAGAACTAATTTTGGCCATTGATGTGAAAAAATGGATGGAAGAGATCAAATTTTAAGTTGGAAACGTGGTGGCATTTTGGTAATTATGATGATCTTTGAATGAAATTATTGTAACAAATGTGTACGAGGAATTTCAAAAAGTGCAAATGTAGAGCCAAAAGGTGCATTACGGTACATAATAAAATCTGCACAAATTAAAAGCAAATTAACAATCTTTTTATCACTTATGAGTACACTTTTGTTCATTATCTATCCACTTTATATTATAAACGTTTGCACTTTTTTGACAACGTGTATTGTGATTAAATTTCATCTAGTCCATCCATTTGCAAGTGATTAAAGGCCAAGATTTGTTCTCACTTTTCATGGGAAGACTACTTTTTACTTGAACTCATCCCTATATTACTATATATATATATATATATATATATATATATATATATATATATATATATATATATATATATATACTCCCTCCGTTTCTATTTGGTTGACACAGTTTGACTTGTCAAGATTTAAGGGAAAAAAGTTATTGAGGGGTAAATTTTACTGTAGAGTACACTGTTTGGCACTGTTTGAACACTGCTTGGCACTGTTTGGCACTGTTTGGCACTGTTTTGCACTGTTTTGCACTGTTTAGGTAAAGATTTGTTTACCAAATAAGGAAATAAAGAAGTGTGGCATTCATTTTGAAACGTCCAAAAAAGGAAAGTGTGTCAACCAAATAGAAACGGAGGGAGTATATATATTCAAACAGGTGAGAAGGATAATGGAAGGAAATCATAGAATGGGAATGGTATAACACCTGTCCCCACATAATCTTGTATAAGTATTGATGATGTTGCTTCAGTTACTCATTAGTTTATGCTTAATCATTCTTAATTATTGGAGTGTTTGCAACTGCTTCTGCTTAAAAAAAAGCACTTTTAGAGATGTAGAAAAAAGTGATTAGTAGGAAAAGTTGATAGTGTTTGAGAAAAAAGTGATTTTGAAAAGTAAAAGTTGATAGTGTTTGGTAAAATAAGTGTTTTTTGTGTAATGGAAAGGGGAAAAGCACTTTTCACACGCAAGCCCAGAAAAAATAAGTATTGATGATGTTGCTTTTTTTTAGTCCTTCTGTTTACGATGTAGGTTATCGTTGATTCTGCGACAGGTTCTATAGCTGAGTATGGTTGTGAGGTAGAGATCACAGAGTATGTATTTCCTTTGACAATCTGTTCTTTGTGCTATAATGTTTATGTTTTATCATTCTTAATTATTGAAGTCGTTAACCGTCATAACAGCTTCCAGATGGGCGCTTTTTCCTAGAGGTGGAATTCTCATACAGCTCTCAGTTTCTTGCCATATTACTTTCTTTTTTATTTACATTGACTGGACCATATCTTATAGTTAAAGAAAAATTATAGTGTTTTATGGGTTCATTTTTTATCTAGGATGATGTAAACTTGATGAATCTCCAATCTCCATATGCAGTCTTTAAAAGTTCAATGATTTAGGTTAAAATGATTAATTTTTTTAAAAAAACTTTAAATTTACACAACGTAATTACTCCGTAGTACTTTATGACGAAATTTCTGAGATTTTTTTTAAGACGAATGATATTTTGTGATCTTTTTTTATTAATTAAAAGAGAATGAATTATTGGAAGTTTGCAAAGGAGATGATGCACAAAAATGTATAAGATCCTACAATTCATTGCCTTCTTTTCTTCTGTGGGCAATCATTTAGTCTGTAAATTTATGATGCACAAAAATGTATAAGATCTCATCACCCAAAAATCTACTAAAAACTTTTTAATAATTTAAGTTATCCACCATCTTAATGAAAGAAATGCAGTGACGTACTAAGACAGCAATTGATAAATGGATTAAAAGACAAATTTTACACTAGTACAAGTTGTACTAAACAGAGACTTTTATAGCCAAATAAGTTTTGCTATGATATTATAAATAAATAAATAAGAGTTCAAAACAGTTAAAAACACTTGAGTAATTTGTAAACAATGAACTTAAAACCAGAATACAACAGTCAACAAATAAACTCCATTGGAAAATGAGTATGGCCTTTTTGCCTGAGATCATTCGTGGAGAACGACTATGGCTTTTTCTGAGGATCTTGAGTAACTTAATACAGTTCCAACTATCTTGGAAACATCTGAAGGGAAATTGGTCAAATCTTCTTCTTTATCGATCACCATCTTTTCCAAGGCCGTAGCTCTCTTAAGCAAAATCCTAGCCAATGTTAGCATTGGCTCACCAGCAAGATATGGATTTGCATAACCTATAAAACGCACCACCTTTAGATGCAACAGGTCACAAACTAGATCATCTTTCACCGGTGGTCCCCAAGTCGTGACAGATTCCTATACGAACAAAACAAGAGAACCTTAGGCCAAACCCAATTTAAACATCATATCTAGGTTATGCATTCATATGATATGGGGCTCTTAGATAAAGTCTGAGTGTTTGACATATACAAATAAAGCATTTGTATTGTTGTATCATTCCACACCAACCAAATATAAAGATACAAACTCATAATTGTAACAAGTTGACCCGAATAAAACATTTCATTATGATCAAATGAGTAAATCAATCTGATTAAGACTAAAAAGCACACAATAATTTTGAGATTGGTCAATTTTAACATAACACTATATTGTGGACTAAACAAACATAAGGATATTAACTGAAATATAAGAACTAAGAATACCCTCGAATCATGTCGACCTATAGTATATAACCCCAAGTTTAAGTGCTAGTTTATTGTAGTGCTAGAAACAACACGTACTGTATATATTACGATAAAAGCCACATTTACTGAAAAGTAAAATAACAATGCCACACGTATTCAACGCAAGAATGAGAGGCCTTATTAGATACCTCATAGGAGTCACAACACTGTACGACCAATGTGTCTAGTTTGGAGGAAGATTCAAGTAGGCCTACAATGGCAGGAATGCTATCACCATCTCTCCATGTATCTATTACCAAACAATCTTGCTTAGATTCTGGAAGCCGCCAACCATGCACCACCATCTCTGATAGAACCTAGAATAGTGACACGTGTACAAATAATTACACAGTTACATGTGTGCAGCAGGGTCTGTAAATCATTAAATGGGGGTAATAATGATAAAAATGGTATAATGGGAGAAAGTTTAGAACTAAAGCAGTTAATGACTATTTGAGACCCTGGGAACCTTATCATGCTAGGACAAATACAATATGGTCGCATTCCAATACACCAATTTATAGCATTATCTCTAAGCTGGCTTGGAGGGATAGATTAATCTCAAGAACTTGATGAAATTTAATTTGGTTGATTACCTATTAAGAATGGGTACTACGTGAGGGGGGGAATGGAACTGCGTAGCACATGTATTCCTGTTCCCTTTTTCTGCAGAAGTGTGGAACGAACCCCAAGGGTTGGCCCAACAGGGACAAATGCATTACAGCAATGAGGAAACACATTTTTCAGATTTGCAAGCAGGTAAGAAAATTGGCAATGAAAACCAAGGAAAAATTATAGCGGCAATTATTTGTTCTGTCAACTCTATTTGGATAGCAAGAAATAGAATAATAGTTTAGAAGAAAATCCCAAATTGGGAGGCTTTGGATCATTTTATTAAAATCATGAGTTTCATAATTATTTTTCTCCACTTCCCTGAGCTGACTTGATTATGAATCAATTCCTGGCTTGGTCCCCACCAAGTGAGTGGTGTGACTCCCTCTTTTGTCTGGGTATTTCTAGTGAATAGTATTGTATATCCTTCATATTATCTTAAATCACTTAAATCTTTGTTGTCTTTGATTAATAAATTAGCTTAGGAGAAGATGAAAACTAAACAAGCACCTTCACATGCACAATTAGCATTCAGCCACTACATTGCAGACTCAAAAGTCAAAGAGAAACTGTACCATAAAACCTGTTGAAACATATATCAGGAAGCATATATAAATGAATTCAGTAACACAAGGATGCAAAAAAAACTTAGAGGATCGACACACACCTCAATGACACCATATCCAAGGACTAACACTTTGACATGCTGAAGCATTTCAAGAAGTTCCATGGTGTTATTCATCACTTCCACAGAGCTATGAGGCACAGTGTAATTAATATCAGCATCAGTAACAGATGGTATGTTGTTGAGCTGCATCTTTGTTCTTGAAGGATGAAGTGAGATATCCAACATCTTAATATAGGGTGCTGAGATTTCAACCAAATGCTTACTCATTTTATCTCCACACACTGATACACCAAGTGAAACAAGACTTCGAGAGTTGACCTCCAGAAATTTGAATCCCCAACATCTTGACAGATTTAAAGAATACAGAACTGGACAACCAGATAATATATTTTGAATCACATCCTCACATAACTCTACACTTTTAATCCGCAGATGAGACAAAGATTGCCACTCTATTGTTCTACGAGGAGCCAAAATGCATCTTTCCAGGAACAAGGATGTCAAACCCGAATTACAAAACAAATCTTGAGGAAGCATATAGAAGTGTTCCTCGGATTGTAACATTAAATCGAGTTCTTTCACCTTATGTTTGACAGCAAAATGAACCCAAGCATTTACATCAGAAGCAAAGCAGTTATTGTACCTGAAGAAAACCCTAAACCTTTCCAAATAAATTCCACTACGGAGAAGAAGAGTCCTGTGAACCCAAGGCACAAAATCTACTGGTTTCCGGGTCTCCCAAAAGTCTAAGGCAGGCAATTCAGTCCAAAGATATTGCCACCTTCGAGATAACACAGCAAGAGTAGCGGCTTCACCACTATCAAGTTGGGAGAGAATATGAATGAGTAAAGAATTGGGCAATGCGCTGAGACGATCAATGGACATCTCTTTAGCTCGTTTGTTCGAGGATGACACTGAAATCGGTTCCCTGAGATCTTTCACGGAATGGACCCCCTCCTGTTGGCCATATTCATTTTCATCCCTTTCTCTTGCTTCATTTATAGCCCCAAATTCTTCCCTTTCTTCTTCTCCCACGCCAAAATCTCCCTCCCCAAGTTCCCCAAATTCTGGCCCTCTATTGTCACTCATTGCAATACTTAAAAAACGTACGCCATAATCATAACCAGTCAACCCTTACTATAAGAATTCAAGCTAGCTATTTGCTGCATAGCCGCTGATGAAGTTGATACCCTCCCTCCTAACGCTCCCAGCCTCGCATAGAAATCTTTTGAAAGAGCTTGGCTTAAATGAAAAGTGGTGTATATGGGTGGACTTTTAACGGATTTTTTTAGTCATATTAGTATTGGAAGAATGATGAATAAAAATGTGATTAAGGTAATTTTTAGTGATTGTAATTGTATTATAATTTACATCATCATAGTCATAATTTCATAATACTCCTTCCGTTCCCCTATAATTGTCCTTTTTTTCTATTTTTTGGATATTCTTCTATTATTAATCCGTACCATATTTGATAACATTTGTGTGACTCTAATTCATTCTTACTTTATTCTACTTTATCAACTCATTATCAACCACAAAATTCTATTTTCTTAAAAATCACATCACTATCTTCCGTCCCAATATTAGGGGGAGGGGGAGTAGTAGTTACTATGATGTAAACTTTAAACACAATTAATAATTATAATCATTAAAAGTTATTAATTCACATTTTTTACACGACTTTTTATTAGTAATACTCTAGAAAAAAACTCTTTTAAAATTTATAAAATTTTTATTAATGAATTATGTTGATTTGCATAAATTTGGGGATTTCATATAAATAATATTTGTTGATTATTAGGAAAACACAACTTTTAATAAAAACTAGGTTAGATGACCAATTGAGCAAAACCAATTCCGGATTGAATTTATCTCTTTCTCCCCATTGGCTTAACCGTCGCGTAGGATTTTGTCTCCCTAGCGACTTTACCGTCACGTAGGGTTTACCTTCCGTCAATTGTTTGTGCGGCTCTTTTTCTATGGGCTTCTAGTGTGCTTTTTAAGTTTAGATTGTTGGTTCTGGTTTTGGGATTTAGGCGACTTTCAGATTATCCATTGGATTTCAAAGCAACGGCAAGATTTCATCTTTGCTTTTCTGATCTCTTTTCTCGGCTTGGGCAAGTCAATTTTAAAGGAGGCGTGAGTGCGGCTGCAACTTTTAGAAATGAATCCAAGGTTCAAGAAACGATTATCATGTCTTCTATGGATGATCTAGAGCAGCGTTGTCTCAGTCCTGCAATTGAGAAGGAGGTCAAAGGGTTAGTTTCTGGCGAATCAAAATGTAGAGGGCGGTGGTGGTAGTGGATGTGGAACGGGCGACGAGAAGACCTGAAGAAGTGAAGGGCTAAGCAAGGGAGAAGACAGATCCGCGGTCCCCTCCCCCTCCTAGTCGCCGCCTTGGAGCGATCGAGGTGCTCGGTTTTGGAAAATTTATCAGTTATTTAATTTTTCATGGTTTTATTTCCGCGTTATGTTTTACGTTACTCTGTTTTTTGTTGATGTCTTTAGTTTTAGGTCTACAATAATGATTGACAATTCTGTAGATATTATGTCGTTAGAAGGATCTATTTGGCTAGTGGTTACTGTGTCACACACGCATGGTAGTTAGCGATTTGTATTGCTCTTACAGGGGTGATCGTCTCTGAGTCTAGCTGTAGGATTGATAGTGCTAGTTGGTTAGAGATAGTTGTTGTTAGTGTTGGTCTTTTTAAATTTGTTGTAACGATCTGATTCCTAATGATATTAAATAAATGCTTGTTTAATTTTAATGATAAAAAAAAAAATCTAGGTTAAATAACATTCATTAGTCTAAACATAATAAGAGGTCAACCACATGATTATATAAAATCATGAGAAACAATTAAAAAATAAGTGAAACAAATGTAATTCACCTAAATGCGGACTGTGGAGTTCTACAAGAATAGTAAGGTCTAGGAATCCAGATTTATTTTACTAATTTGAGAACTCAAAATTGAGTGAATGGCTTGTAAACTAGGTATCTGTTATGATCATAACAATTGAGACCTGATACCAACCCCCGACCCGGTTCAAGTTCAGGACCGATTGACCGGCTCGTCATCATAGTACTCAAATCATGTATATAGAAGAAAATAGTGACAGTTTACAGGTAGGAATAAAAGGCAATTTGACGGGGTTCACAATAAATAAAATGACAGCTTCAAATTTACATAGTTACTATTAATTTGATAAAGTAAAAATAAAGTAAGAGCGATTCAAACATATACAAACATTACCAAATCTGATACAAGACAATACAAATGGAACGGACCTACGAGTAAAGATAAGATAATATTTGGACCAGTAAAAAAATGGCTTGTTGCAATGTAAATAAAAAGAGGTGACAAGTACTGGTGTCTGCCGTTGGAGCTTCTCTAGAGAGGCATGAAGCAAAGAACCATGGAGCACTTGGAGGACAGAGAGCATTTGGGGAAGGGTGGTGCTCTAGGTCAATTCCACCTGTTGATTGAGCCGCCTCCACTACATCACCAAGCATAACCTGATCACCCCACAATTTCCAGGTTACCTCTCTTGCTTCCTAGATCAATGAGCACTGCCGTTTTATTATTGGGATAATTTGAGTTTACACCCCAATTTATTGTTCAAATTGGACTTTGACTTTGCACTTCATTTTTAAAAATCTTTATTTTTGCACCCTAACCCCATATGAAAAGACAAAAATGCCCTCGACCAAGAATATGTTGAAGGCCAACAAAATTGTTAATGAAGGGGCATTTTTGTCTTTTCATATAGGCTGGGGTTCAGAATAAAAAAAAATTAACAACGGGGTGCAAAGTCCAATTTGCACAATAAAATAGGGTGCAAACTCAAACTAACCCTTTATTATTCCACCACCGGTGCAACCAACCCACTGCCACGGTGCCACCCGCAGGCCACTTGCCAAAATTACCAAAACACTTGTGCATCAACTTAAGTGACCCCCCTCCCCCAAAAGAAATACCTAGTACGAAGTATTAAGGTAAAGAAATGCAGTAACATACTTGGACAGCTATTGTAAATGGATATAAAAGACAAACTTTAAACTAGTACAACTATAGCGGAGCCTTTTGGAAGCCAAATAAGTTTGTGAATCTGTGATATCATAAATAAATACGAGTCTGAATCGGTCTAAAGTTCTCAGTAATTAGTTTTGAGCTTAAAGCAAAATACAGCAGTAAAACAAATGAACTCGATCCCATAATGAGTATGGACTTTTTTCTTCTGAGATAGTGAGATCATTCATGTTCGTGGAGAACGACTACGGCTTTTTCTGAGGACCTTGGATAACTAAATACTGTTTGAACTATCTGGGAAACATCTAAAGGGAAGCTGGTCAAATCTTCTCCTTTATCGATCACCATCTTTTCCAAGGCCCTAGCTCTCTTAAGCAAGATTCGAGCCACTGTTAGCATTGGCTCACCGGCAAGATATGGATTTGCATAGCCTATAAAACGAACTGCCTTCAGATGCAACAAGTCACAAACTAGGTCATCCCTCACCACTGGTTCCCAGGTCGTGACGGGTTCCTAGATGAACAAAACAGAGAACCTTAAGCTAGACAAAATTTGAAACGTCATTTGTATGTTATGCATGCATATGATATGTGGCTCTTAGATAAAATTTGACATACAAAAGAAAAGTATTCATATTGTTATATTATATCATTCCACACCAACAAATTGAAAAGATGCAAACTCATATGATAGACCTTAAACTACTTCTTTCAACAAATTGACCAAAACAGCAATTCTAATTATAATCAAATGAGCAACTCAATCTGATTAAGACTAAAAATGTGCACCAAAATCTCGAGATTGGTCACTTCTAACAAGCCACTATCTTGTATTCTTGTAGACTAAACAAACATAAGGACATTGACTGACATATAACACCTAAGACTACCCTCGAATCATGTAGACCTTCAGTATAAATATTAAATACCCAAGTTTAAGTGCTAGTTTATTTAAGTGTTAGAAACAACAAGTAGAGTATATATTAAGATGAAAACCACATATACAGAAAATAAAGAATGCCATGCATATTCAACCCAAGCATAAGAGGCATTATTAGATACCTCATAAGAGTCACAACACTGTACGACCAATGTATCTAGTTTTGAAGATGATTCAAGTAGGCCTAGAATGGCAGGAATGCTATTGCCATCTCTCCATGTATCAATTACCAAACAATCTTGTCTAGACTGGGGGAGCCGCCAACCAAGCACCACCATCTTTGATAGAACCTAGAATAGTATCATATGTGTACATAGTAACATGCCTATAAATGGGGGTGGACAATGATGAAGAATGGCACAATGGGAGCAAATTTAGAACTACAGCAGTTAATGACTATTTGAGACCCTAGGAACCTCATCAGGCTAGAACAAATACAATATGGTCTCATCTGAATTCACCGACTTAGAGCATTATCTCTAAGCTGGCTTGGAGGAATACATTAATCTCGAGAACTTTGATGAAATTTAATTCAGTTGATTACCTATTAAGATTTTGTACTGTGTGAGGGAGGGAATGAAACTGCATAAAAAATGTTCTTCCTCTTACGTTTTTCGGGTGAAGTGTGGAACAAAATCAAGGGTTGGCCCAACAAGGACAAATGCATTACAGCAACGAGGAAACACATTGCAATTTAAAACTAAGGTCAAATATCATAGCAGCAATTGTTTGCACAGTTAACTCTATTTAGCAAAAAATAAAATAATAATTTAGAACAAAATCCCAAATTGGGAGGATTTGGTTCATTTAATTAAAAAATCATGAGTCTCATAATTATGTTTTGCCACTTTGCTGAGCCTAATTGATTAAGAATCAATTATTGTATTGATCCCTACCAAGTGGGTGGTGACTTCCTCTTTTGCTGGAATTTCTGGTGAATAGTATTGGGTATCCTTTTTAATCTTATATTATGTATCACTTAAATCTTTGTTTTCTTTGATTAAAAGAAGTAGCTTGTGAGAAGATGAAAGCCAAACAAGCAGCTTCACATGCTTATGTTTATACATATTAGCATATCGAAGAGTATTTGTACCATGAATCCTGTTGAAACATACTTTAAGACACGTAGATAAATGAATTCAGTAACACAAGGATGTAAAAATGCTTAGAGCATGAATGCACACCTCAATGAGCCCACATCCAAGTACGAGCACTTTGACATGCTGAATCTTTTCAAGAAGTTCCATGGTGTTATTCATCATTTCCACAGAGCTATGACACACACTGAAATCAATATTAGCATCAGCAACAGATGGTATGTTGTTGAGCTGCATCTTTGTTTTTGAAGGATGAAGTCCGATATTCAATGTCCTAATATAGGGTGCTGAGATTTCTACCACATGTTTACTCGTCTTATCTTCACACACTGATACACCAAGTGAAGCGAGACTTTGAGAGTTGACATGCAGATAATTGAAACCCCAACATTCTGACAGATTTAAGTCATACAGTACTGGACAGCCAAATAATATCTTTTGAATTACATCATCACACAACTCTACATTTTCAATCTGCAGATGAGATAAAGATTGCCACTGTATTGTTCTATGAGGAGCCAAGCTGCATCTTTGCAACCACAACGATTTCAATGACGAATTAGAAAACAACTCTTGAGGAAGCTTATAAAAGTGTTCGTCTGATTGTAGCAACAAAGCAAATTTTTTCACCTTATTTTTGACAGCAAAATGAACCCAAGCATTTACATCAGAAGCAAAGCAGTTATTGTACCTGAACCAAACCCTAAATCTTTCCAAATAAATTCCGCTACGAAGAAGAAGCGTCCTGTGAACCCAAGGCACAAAATCTACTGGTTTCCGGGTCTCCCAAAAGTCTAAGGCAGGCAATTCGGTCCAAAGATATTGCCAACTTCTGGATAACACAGCAAGAGTAGCGGCTTCCTCACTACCAAGTTTGGAGAGAATATGAATAAGTAACGAATCTGGCAATGCGCTGAGACGGTCAATCAACATCTCTTTAGCCCGCTTGTTCGGGTATGACACTGAAATCGGTTCCCTTAGATAGCTTCCTTCCTCTTTTCCATATTCATTTTCATCCCTTTCTCTTTGTTCATTTCTAGCCCCAAATTCTTCTCTTGCTTCTTCTCCCACGCCAAAATCTCCTTCTCTAAGTTCCCCAAATTCTGGCGCTCTTTCGTCACTCATTGCAATAGTGAAATAAATCTACACTCTAACCATAACCATTCAACCCTTAACCTCCTGAATTCAGGCAAGCTATTGACTGCAAAGCCGGCGCCGCCCCGCCCACGCCACTATGATGTCGATGCCCGCCTCCTAACGCTCCCAATCTCCCATACAAATATTTTGAAAGCCTTCAATGGGGCTGAGTTCCGACTTCCGAGTTCAATTTTTTTGAACGTCACACCAAGTTCACTTCAAAACTACACTTTAAAAACATACGGAGTATCATATCATAGTGTTAACGAGAGTTTACACTAGAGTCTATTGAACTTCATAAAGGAGTTATGACTCTCTTTTTTTGCTTGATTTGGTATTTTTAGATATATCAATCAATTATTCACAATTGAATTGTTTTAGAAGCAAAATTAGTAATCTATACTAATATAAAAAGGGAAACCAAACATACTTTACGGGTACATTTTCAAAAACCTCCACCACAATTAATTATCAAACGGTTATGTGCATGAAACGAAGTATCGATTTCTAACCGGTGCCAGTGTGCCACATTCATCATCTATCAATTACATATACACATCTAGAAAACAACTGTTTGGCCGCCAAGTAGTTCTTTACACGTGATTCCTCAATTAATTTGTAGTTCTTTACACATCTTGGAATATAGGAGAGCAAGGTAATCAATTATGTCAATATTAAATTATTCTTTTCTAATGTAGGAAATTCATATGATATTTAATTTAATTACCTCTACATGATATGCACCACACCATTAGACGTACGTAGTTATATCATTTAAAAATTATAAAAACGTATTCGGTGTATGTTATTACTTCTAAGTATCCAAAAATTAAATCTATGATGGAAGCAATTAACAATTGGGGCGTATATCTCATATCTGGATAATTGAAGCATCATATAATAATTAAGGTAGTGGATGGCCTTCATCCTATTAAAACATACGGAGTATGATCTCATCAAGCATTCAAGCCCAATATGTAATACTTATGGGTATGTATGAGAATTAATCCTTTCCGGTCAGGCCGGACAAGAGGGTGGTCCGGCCACCTCAATTTGGGGTTGTTTGCGGTGACATTTTTGATCAATTGTTTTTTTTGTATGTACATTTTGGCGCAGTTATTTTTTAAAAATCATTTAACTGCCTTATTGATTGAATTTTTTACTCAAATTTGGTGAAGATAATCTACATTTCATGAGGAAAATGCTCAAAAAATTTAAGTATAAAAACCCACCAGAAACCGCTCCAAAACAAAGTGGCCGGTCAACCCTCCTCTCCGGCCCTGCCAGACAGACAGGAATAGCACTTACGTATGTAGTAAGGTTGTCGATGAATGCTGAGTAATAACTAATGATGTTCATAAATCTTATAATGTGTACGTTTTGGAGTAATATTCATCTAATTGAAGAATTTATAAGAAATTAGTGTATGAAATAAGTATAAGTAATTGCATATTTATGATTACAAATAGTTTTGTTTTTTAATGTGACTTTAAGTTTAGTAACTTTTATATAGTAATAACTTTAATCCGTTGCAAAAACATATAGTAGTAACTTTAATCAGAGTCACCTCCATCGCATTAACATTAGGACAAGAATAGTGACAATAAGAAAAGTGTTTATGTCATTGGTATTTAATTGGTAAAGTAATAATAAAGTAAAACTGATTTCGAGCCATAAAAAGTTTACCAAATTTGGAATGAGATAATCTTAATGAGATTTCGCGCAAAGGAAAAATGAGACAATCTAAGCGGGATGAAGAGAATAATAACTTTAGTCATAGACTCTATATGCTAGAATGTCATATAGATTTTAGCACGAGACAATGATAATATTTTTCTCATGGAAATTGATTATAGAAATATCGCATTTTTTTGTCACAAACAATTATATACTCCCTCTGTCCACTAAGATCTTTCTGCTTTCCTTTTTTAGCCGTCCCAAAATGATCTTCTCATTTTCCTAAATGGAAAGTTATCCTACATCAAAACAGTGTCGAACAGTGCAAAACAATGTTAAACAGTGTCGAAACAGTGTACTCTACAGTAAAGTCAAATTTATTTCTTAAATATGTGTGTAGGTCAAAGTAGGAAGTTCTTAACGGGACGGAGGGAGTATGTTATAGTACGCCAAGTGACCAAACCTTTGTAATACATAGAAAAAAATAATTATAGCCTCAAATCTCCGTAGGTATCTAGAGTAAATTTTTGTCTTATTATTACCATATTTAAATTTCAAATGTAAAAAAATATATATTTCGTATATTAATATGTCGTGCATCGCACGGGTACAATACTAGTGCGTCTAATTTCTATTACCAGTACTTTTTAAACTTTTTAGGGGTTTGTCCTCAAATAATACTAATTATAAGCATTTGGACAAAAAAGAGACTTTTCTTTTAAGTTCCAAAAATAAGACTAAATAATATTTAAGGGACTGTTACACCCTTACTAAGCCCAAACCCACTGGCCTGCTACAGTAACCCGTCACAGTGACCAAATGTGCAGTGACCAATGTTACAGTTACTAATGACATAGTTACAAAATTTTTCCAGTGACCAAAAATTAATACGTCCCACCAATGACTTGCATCACAGTGACCAAATGTGCAGTGACTAATTGACAAAGTGACATTCGCCCGGTGATCAATTTTAATAGCGATTCCCGTGCAGTGACCACCGCCACAATGACCATCGTCTACCACTTATAGTTACACCAGACCAATGCCACAGTTACCAACGCTTAGTGACTCAGCTCTAGTAACATCCCGGCTACGGTGACATCCGCCCCCAGACCACCCCAATCTGAGTGACCAACCCGACCCCGGTGACCAACCCAACCCCATTGACTAACCAATAGTGACATCCGGCAGCCTCGTCAATGCCCTGAATTTCCCAACCAACCCCGCTGCTACCCTAGCAGTCCAATCCAGTCCCGCCCCCTGCCCCACCAGCCCCCTGCCCCACCATAGTGACCTGCCCAACCAGCAGCCCCTGCCACGCACCCAGCCACCCAGCAGCCCCCTTTCCCCGCCCAACCAGCCCCCTGCCCCACCATAGTGACATGCCCAACCAGTAGCCCCTGCCACGCACCCAACCACCCAGCAGCCCCCTTTCCCCGCCCCTGTTGTGCCTTCACAATCTCATCGCACCAACACACCCCGCCTCCATCTGCCGCACACCACCGGCCCCACACCACCGCGTGAGCCCATCACGGTCAACCCAGCGCCGCTCGTCACCCTCAGACTCTATCAATGTGTTGGGATATCCCTTCGACGTCGTCCTTCCGATCTCGTCCTCAACACCACCGAGATCTGAAAACAAGCAGCGACCATCATCGCGTTGGTGAGCAGAGATGATTAGAAGAGAAGAAGAGGAAGAATTTGATGAAGGCGAACGAATTGCAAGTTGCGGCGATGATGAAGCGATTGGCAGGCGTCGGAGATTGTGATGCGATTGGATGGCGTCGGAGATTGTGATGCGATTGGATGGCGTCGGAGATGGTGGTGGGCGATTGGCAGGCGGCGGCGATGGTGAGGCGATTGGCAGGCAGTGGCGATGGTGGCGATTGGCAGGCGGCGAAGATTGTGCTACGACTGGATGGCCTCGAAGATGGTGGTGGGTTTGGCATCCGGCGAAGTTGCAGAGACGAGGCGATGGGAGAGACAGAGGTCACCGAGTGATTCGCTGGAGCTGCTGGACGCGGAGCTTCAGAAGGGTATTTTGGCCTTTTAAAAACTTATAGGTCTTATTTATGTCCGTATTGATTAGCAGCTCTATTTTTGTCCAGCTATAAGCCCTAGCTATTATTTTAGTCGTTCTTTCAACTTTTTACACTATTTTTTTAAATATTTGTGACATGTCTATAATTGTAAATAAAATAATATTGAGAAAATATAGTACTACGTAGGAAATCTAAATAGGGCCAAATTGGTAATAAAAAAGAAAAAGGGAAGATGGTTTACCATAAAAAATTTTGGGGTTGGTAAAAAAACACCAGCGACGAATTGGTAAACAATCAAGTTCCGATGACAAATGGGTCAATTTATTATGAGTGAGATAGTTTCAATCCTCGGTTTTAGAGTTCACGACATTTATGGGGTGTTCCCAATTCGGATTCTGGGGGATTGTAATGGAGTTTAGAATTCCGTCAGAATCCAAGTGTTCCCGAGTTGGATTTAAGTGGAATCCATGAAAATAAGAATGTCCTCAGACATTCCGTGGATTGCTATTGCTACTTATTTGGATGGATTTTAATGGATTTTGATGGATTTCTACATACAAAAACAAGCCACCGCAATCTTGTAGACTCCCCTCGGATTTCAAAATCCATAATCATTTAAAATCCATCAAAGTCATAATCCAGGACCTACCCCTTAGAGAGGTATCCCCGACTATGATTTTGATGGATTTTACAAGATTGTAGATTTATTCTCAAAAAAAATAGATTTTGAAATTCAAGGGGTGACAAGATTCGTGGTAGAATGTCTTGTATGTAAAAATCCACCAAAATTCATTAAAATTAATCCAAATAAACAATAATAGAAATCCACGCATGTAATGTTTGAGAACAACAATATTTTCGTAGATTCATCAGAAATCCAAATTAAGGACACCTATATTCTGACGAAATTCTAAACACCATTAAAATCCTCCAGAATCCACGTTGAGGACATCCCCCTTGTGTCGTTAAATATTGTGAAATTGACTTTTCTAGTTCTACTTTAACTTTTTCCTAAAAAGTTTAGAATTAAAACTATCAACGGAGTGTTTGACAATCATAATTGGTTGCTAACTGATACCCAATTGAATCAACAGATTGATACTTCCATATTCTGATAGCTTTTTAACCAACCACTTCCAAAACAATTTGAAGTAAAATATTAGCAACTTAATTGTATGTAATGAGCTTTTAAGATGTAAAACTATGTAGCACGGAAATTCTCGAAAAAGAGCATGCTTCCGTTTCGGAAACTCTTTGGAAACTCTCCAAACAAGATTTTTTTTTTTGCAAAAATTAATGTTTCCCGTTTCACGTTTCCTCATTATTTTCGCGTTTCAGTGCAACGTAGATTATTTAAAATAATCATTACAACAACATTCGAGTCTTATTCCCAAAAGATTTTGGGGTCGGCTAACATGAATTGATACATGATATCGGAGCAAAACAAATAAAGATAAGAAGAATAAAAAGATAAAGTAAGATAAAGTGTATAAGATAAAGATAAATATACATTAAAAATTAACATAACAAGAACATAATAAGAAAGATACAAAACAAAAGACAAAGGAGCACAAGAAAG